TAAGTAGACTTCTTCTTAGTAATGGAGACGTCGAACCCGATATCATTATATATAATAAAAAACAATTTTATAGATTTTTTTATAGACGGGGTTTACATCCAAACTGTGACTTCCTATATTTTCCGATTTTTTAATCAAACAAATAAATTAAGTCGAAAATGATTAACTTAGCAATTAGTGTAAAATTGAAATATTGAAATATTTCTAATTTTGCTCTATTTTTAGAATTATGTAATTTATTGCATATGGACAATTCCATACGATTGTATGTGACATTCGCACGCCTTCAAAGTGGTATAGATTTTGTTAAATTGGGAGTACTTGGAAAACAATTTTGTCATTCTGTTCCATTTAAAGAATACTATATTTCCAAAAGGAATCATCCCATTCGGAACCTTGTTTTCCAAAATATGGATTAAAATATGGCGATATCATACGTGACAAAAAACGGAAGTCTTTTTAAAGTACATGTAAATATTTACGAAAATCTGCGAATTCTGTAGGTGTATCTTTTTTGTTTTAATTTCTTACATTATGGGACATAATTTTCATTAGTAATCCATAATTTTTAAATAAAAAAAGAAATTAATATAATTTCATAATAAACATATTTAAATATCGTACGTGACACATCGTTTGTGACAGATTTTTCTCCTGATTTTTTTTAGGTTATAAATATATATTTTGGAAATATATGCATACACACACTTCAACAAATCAAAAGGAGTAGGAAAGTGCAGTCGGACATGGCCGACTTATGTACATGTTTAAGCAATTTATAGATAAAAATAAAAAACTGGAGTTATATGGCGACTAGGGTCAAATATGGACCGATCCTCATAAAATTCTAGGGTGTGTTTTTAATTCATATAAAACTTATTTGTGCCAAATTTTATCATAATTAGAGGTGAGTTACGGACGTTTAAGTGTTTTTCTGAAATTAAACTTTGAATGGAACTAGGGTCAAATGAGCTCCAATCGTTATGTATTGTATTCTGTATTATAATTAACAGAAAACTTGATTACATGATTTACAGGCATCTTGTGCTGTCAGACACTTGTTAATTAAAGTTTTGGCTTCAGCAACTGCAGAAATAGCCTCCTTTTCAACTGAATAACTATAATCCAAAGCATTCTTGATATTAGCTTTAGAAGAGCATTCGGCTACAGCCATTTGATTGGCAAAATTTTTTTGACTGTTGAATATATAAATGTTGGCAGCCTCAACCTGAAAATATTAGTTATGAGCATTTCAATTATGAGCTAAAAAGTGATATTTTCGGTTCCGTTTGTATGGCGGCGAGGTGTAAAAATAGACCGATTTCAAAAATTTTCAACAGTCTTCGTCTACAAAAGATCATATACCAAAAGGCGCTACAAAAGATCATATACCAAATTTTGTTGAATTATCTTGAAAAATGCAGAAGTTATAAGGGTTTTATTTTTTTTTACCTTTTCATGGAATTGCCCATATGCCTTGAAATTCAACCTTTTATTAATAGGGGATTCCGCCGAATACCACACATGTTTGTTTATAAAAATTTTCAATAACGGTTTTATTCCACTTTCTATAACGTCATTTTCAAACATTGTTTCTCGATTGTTTATTACTCGAAATTTTATACAATATGTCAATCCACTATCTTAGATTTTTGATTATAAGCAATTAAAATTAAATCGAAATTATTCGTTAAAATACTTGAATACGTTTATTAACCATAAGAGTTTTTATCGGATTTTAAGTACAAACTATACTGATCGAAAGTATTTTTTACCAAATTTTTATCATTTGTAAAAAATTGTTTGCGTATTCCAAAATTGTAGACAATTACCCTATATAAAAATCTTAATTTTGTAGGCCTGTGTTATTTCCATACATAGGTATTGACACCTATAGACATTTAAAATGAAAATTCTATAAAAATCTAAAGAATTCATCTAAACTAAACAATTGCCAAAATGAGTTTGTTTTTCATGAATATTTTTATAACCTACACCACTACTTATAAAGAGGTACTAAGTATAAATACTAGATTAAGATTAAGTTTTGACCACATGCACCAATCGAAAGCTCGGTCAGCGTTTCCAAAGTAGGTCAGTTGATTTAGCTATGTCCGTCTGTCTGCCTAAAACTAAACAATCAACCAAATTCATCAAAAATATCCATTATTGTAGAAGCAATTGTATGGGCATGGCCGACCATATGATACCCTACACCACTGATTATTTTAAATATGGGCCTATCCTTAAAAATTTTGATATATATCATCGTGATATTAGTGTTTATAAGTGAATTTTGACCATCAAGAGGACTTTATTTGGGGGATAGGGTCATATGAGGCCTGATCATTACGAAAATCAGCAATATCATTAAGATTTATATAAAAATAAGTTTTGCCGATTTTTTTGAGAGATACAAAAATATTAAACATAATTATGAGCTCAAAAGCCCTATTCGGGGGTACGGTTGTATGGGGGCTAGGCGAAATAATTAATTTTAACCATTATCAATAGACTTCGTCCTTAGGTGAAAAGAAGAGTATGTGCCAAATTTCATAAGATTACCTTGTGCACAAGGTTTACATGGGCATACAGACGGACAGACAGACATAGCTAAATCGACTCAGAGAGTGATTCTAAGCCAATTGCTATACTATAAGGATAAAAAATTATAAGTAAAAAATTTAGGCTACCTTAAAAAAAATACGTTTTATTCTAATCCCTCAATAGTTTTCTAAAATCTACCAAAAGTAATTCGATGAATTTTATGATACAAATCATAACAAACGATCCAAAGTTTTTCATAGGCCCCAAAGATACATATTTTCCGAAATGAACTTATCGTTAAGAACTCTCACCAAAATATCGGTATCAACACAAAATTGTATGGATGTAGTTATAATATCATATTATTAAATAGATCTGTATTGGATCATAACAGGTCATACCTCCCATATAACGTTTACTTCTGAAAATCACTTAATTGTACATAAGTATATAATTATGTGTGTATAATTTCACCAAAATTATTTTCTGCATTGGTCCATAATATTTTCAGTCATATAGTTATATCTGTCATATAAGATCTACTTCCGGAAATCATCTAAATACATTTCATAGACAAAAAGAGATATTGTGATAAAATTCGATATGAAAATAAAAATATTGATATCTATCTTTATAAAATTCGACATAAATGTGTTTAAAGTATACATAAATCCTTTTATGAAAACATCTTTACATCGAATATCACTTCCCGACACTTACCGCATGAAATTCGGTAGGAAGATTTACGTTCCTATAAATGCTTCTTATATAAAATTTCATAATTGTTCACGTAGTTTTAAGACAGCAATGATCGTTTAAGTAATTTTCTTATGGACCGATCCTCAATACATTTGGTAGAGATATTTTAACTCGTATAAAACATGTGTGTGTCGATTTTTTTGTATTTTTAAGTCAGTAATTTCTTGTATTTTTAAGTCAGTAATGAGCTTTAAAGTCATTTTCTTTCACTCGTATTTTTGATCGTTTAAGTAATTTTTTGAAGGGGATCTTATAGTAGGGTCAATTATGGACCGATCCACATAAAGTTTAATAGAGAGATTTTGGCTTCATTGAAACTATACTCGTATTTTTAAGCCAGTAATGAGTGTTAACGCCATTTTCAGAAGGGGACCTTATATGGGGGGTAGGGTCAAGTAAGAACTGATCAACAATTTAGTAGAGAGATTTTGGCTTCATTGAAACTTATGTGTGTCGAAATTCATCACTATACTCGTATTTTTAAGCTAGTAATGAGCGTTTTCATCATTTTCTGATGGGGACCTTATATGGGGAGTAGGGTCAATTATGAAGCGATCAACATAAAATTTAATAGAGAGGTTTTGGATCGTAAGAAACTTTGTTATACTAGTATTTTTAAGCCAGTAATGAGCGTTAAACTCATTTTTTGAAGGGGACCTTATATGGGTAGTTGGGTCAATTATGGACCGATCCACATAAAGTTTGATAGAGAGATTTTGTCTTCATTGAATACTATACTCGTATTTTTAAGCCAGTAATGAGCGTCAAAGTAATTTTCTGAAGGGGACCTTATATGGGGAGTTGGGTCAGTTATGGACCGATCATCATAAACTTTGGTAGGGAGATTTTGGATCATATGAAACTCGTACTTTGAAAACAGATATGCCCGTTAAAGCTGTTTTACGGGGGTCCACTTGTATGGTGGCTATCCGAAAACGTGAACCAATATTGCCCATTTTCAATACCAAACAAACCTTCTCTATAGAGAATATTTGTGAAAAATTTCAATCTTCTAGCTTGTTCCGTTCGGACTCTATCGTGCTTTCAACAGACAGACAGACATGGCTAGAATTAGAATTTAATTAGGACCCAGAATATATATACTTTTATGGGTCTATGACCAATATTTCGATGTGTTACAAACGGAACGACAAAATCAATAAACCCCCCCAATGTTTTTTGATGGTGAGTATAAAAAAATTACTAAATGATGGTTGGAAAATTTTTATAATAGAACTTACCTTTGTGCAAATTCCGTTCCGATTGGAAGACATCAGTTTCAAAAGTATGATCACTTGACTTGAAAACTTATATAAAAACTGATATATGATATAGAATTTCATGGAAATTGTTGAACTTTCTAGCCAATCTTATAAGGTCCGAAATTTAACCACTATCCAGCATACATTCAAATGATTGATATTTAATGTCAAGTGACCAAACTTTTGAAACCGAAATCCTCCATATGCTGTGCCATGGATTAATTGAACTTTAATTTGCATGAATAATTTGAAAAAAAGGAAAAGAGGAAATGAAGATCAAATACACAATGAAATTTTAAACTATAATACCAAGCGAAAAATTCAATTTGCATAGAAAAAATTTAAATGACTCGCATTTAACAAAACGAATACTAAATATATTGTTAAATAATTTTAAAAGAGTTGTAATATAACTCAAACATTTTTCAGTTATTAAAAGACATTTGTAGATAACAAACTTCTTTAAGAAAATTATCACTCTATAAAGATGCATAAATTAGTTACTGTATTATTTTTAATATTTGCTGCACCTATGGCAAAAGGAGATTTAAATTATTACGTTGACAGAAATGTAATTATTGTCTTGATCATAAAAATTATTTATGTTTTAATAAAATACATTTTTTATATATATGTATATATTTTTTTTTTTTTTGAAGTTATCGTTTTTACCAAATTTTCCTGATAATTATGTCCAGAATGCAACAATGAACATTGACGCCTACATCAATTTGAATAAACAGCAGCATGAACAGAATATTCATGAATTCGATACAAAAATTGAAGTTTTCAATCAGTCTTATGCGTCAAGTCTTGAAATAATCGGTATAAAACTAGACCTATTGATTTTCGCACTGGCTCAGGCTGATGAAAAATTGAATCCATTATCAGTTATAAGTGAATTTAGCCGGCAATGTGTTAATAAATATCGTCATATGATACCAAAAATCGTTGATATCAAGTCAAGAATGGTTAATTGTATAAATCAGGCGGTTAACAAAATGCCCACTTTGTTGGCTGATGTAATTCAAATCAGAAATTATTTGGATAACTATTACAAGAATACATTTGAAAGTAATATTTTAAACTGTCAAAGGTTCTATGGTAAATATCCCCGCAATTTTACGCTTTGTATAACACATGTGGTAAGTTTGAACAAAATTTCCATATAATTCTATTACTTGGAACATATCTTCCCTTAGGTCGCTGACACTAACACTTATACGATTGCAAATCAAAAACAGTTTGGCCACAAAATAGATGCTCTTGAGTGTACCTCTGATCTAATAATAAAACAGACATTGGATTGTAGTTTTGATGTTGAAAGTGATACAATTTCAGCCATTGCTGAGGCCTCCACTTTAATCAATAGATGCATGTCGGGTCTAGACGATTGTAAGCAAATATGTACGGGTTATACATGTGAAGAAGTCTATATAATGGATCGTAGTGAAGTCGATTTTAGCTCTAAGGTTATCAGAAATCCATTCTATGGACGTAGTGATGTGAAAAATTGTCTAATGATAAAAATTAAGTAAACAAAATTTAAACTTAATTTTTTAAAATTAGGGTCTTTTACATAATCTGTTAGATCCGTTATGAGAGGTTTTTACAACAATTTTTTTATGAAAATGAAACCATTTGGATGAAATTAAAAACTCTTGTTTTAAATTTAGTTAATTTTTTTTCGTATCGAACGTTTTAATTTGCATGAAAAATTAATTTTAACCGCTGTAACTGTAGCAAAACTTAAAAGTTTATTAAATTCTACATACAATTTTCCACTTAAATACCTTGACTACTTGTTTTTTTCTCAATGGCCTCGTAAATTTCGGAAAAAAAAATTCACACAATCAAAATTTTAATAATTGTCCCTATTTATTTGATTCCATTTTGTTTTTTACAAGGGTTTCCTCAAGATGTTCCCAAAAACGCTCTGTGTAGTTGTGGTGCGGTAACTGGGGAGATGATCTGCCATTTTTAAGTCAATTATGATCGTTAAAGTAATTTTGTGGAAAGCACATTACATGAGGGAGGGATAAATTATGATCCGAATATTAAAGAAATTTCGGTTGATATAAAACTCGATTATGTTAAATTTCTGTGCTATACAAGGATTTTTAAGTCAGCATTAAAAGTTAAAGTAATTTTCTGAAGAGGGCCTTATATGGGTCGTAGGGTCAATTATGAACCGATCGTCATAAAAATTTGTAGATAGATTTTGATTAATACCAAACTTGTTTGTTTTAAATTTCTTTACTATAAGCCAAATATGAAGAGTGCTTTATATGGAGGGTAGGGTCCATTAAGAACCGCTTGTAGAAAGATTTCGATACTTATAAATCTTGCTTATGTTGAATTTCATCGCTATTTTTAAGTCAGTTATTACAGATTAAACTATATTCCGAGGGGTCACTTTTGTATAAGGGCCAGATGAAATCGTGAACCGATCTTAAAGAAAGTATTTGTGGATTTCAGCCCTCCAGCTTTTTCCATTCGGACCCTATGGTGATTTCAACAGAATCTAACGAGGACCCATATTATATATACTTTTATGGGTCTTAGACCAATGTTTGTAAAAGGGCCAGATGAAATCGTGAACCGATCTTAAAGAAGGCATTTGTGGATTTCAGGGTCCATTCGGACCCTATGGTGTTTTCAACAGAATCTAATAAGGACCCAGATTATATATACTTTTATGGGGCTTAGACCAATATTTGTATAAGGGCCAGATGAAATTGTGAACCGATATTAAAGAAAGTATTTGTGAATTTCAGCCCTCCAGCTTTTTCCATTCGGACCCCATGGTGTTCTCAACAGAATCTAATGAGGACCCAGATTATAAATACTTTTATGGGTCTTAGACCACTCGGGAGTAGTCGGCAACAAAAGTAAAGGAAGTTGGAGTTAGTTAACTTGACGAACGCAAACAAGACCAATTAAAAATATAGACCAGGTAATCCCATGAGGCCTGTTGGAATTATTGAACGGTGGGTAAAACATCAAATATCCTATGGAGTGACTTTAACAATAACACTACGAGAAGCCTCATCAAAATGAGCAAGCCAGAAGTTTGTACCATCTGTTTAAGAAACGTTCTGTACAAGTATTTTATATATTTTTTCATGCCAGGATTTGTATATCCAGACTTTTTAGATTTTTGACTATAATATCCATACTATGGAAGGGATTATCGAAACACTTTATAGAAGAATTAAGAACATATTGGGCCATCTTAAGTGGGTTATTATAATTTGATATAGACTTTGCGATTTGAGATTTATTGCCCTAATGCTGAATTTTTTACATTTGTAACTGGACCAATGGTTTCGAATATTTGGCCTACTAAACTTTTAACACGCTTTAATGTACTTTAGGAAATCGGAAGAAAATTATAAAGGGATTTGCAAATAGGGTTCAGATATGTGTTATTTTTTATTACTTAGCACACTTTTGTTATTCAAAATTTATCAATTTCTATCTTAATAATAAATTCACAGGAAAACAGAATTGATTTGATTATATTCCACATAATTTTACAGAGACATGTCAAAATATTACCTGCTAGTCATTTCAAAAATAATTTTTATCAATGAGTAGTAAAACGTGTATAAAAATCCTAATAGTTTTGCACTAGAATATCAAACTACGCTATAGATAAGCAAATTCACAAAATGTACTTAAAATTTACAATAATAATACTAATTATTAATAGATTAATAAATCATAATCAAACATTTGCAAATTAAAATAATTATTGATAAGACCAAGAAAATCACCAAATGAATACAATTTTTAACTAGAAATCTGAAAAAATTATAGTCAAAGTTTGTTAGAAACACTCGTATCTAAGATAAGTAATTTCTAAAATATATAAGAGTATTGAAATATTTTGAAAATTATCAGTTATTTAACGACATTGGAAAGAAACGTACGAAATTTTAAAAGCAAACTTCGTGAAATATGTTCAAATTGAAATCACTTATCTTGTTAATGGTAACGCTGGTGGCGGCTACAAATGGGCAGGTAAATTTCGAAACTACTTATAGAACCTTCCTCAATGATATTGCGATTAAACCAATGACTAATAAACACTTTGCTCTTAAAGCTAAACAACAACAACAACAATTCAACTCTACGCCTTGATGACTATGTCAATATGAAGAGACAACAATATGCTTTGAATATTCAAAATTTCGATATAAAAATGGATTTATTTAAACAATCCTATGCTGCAAGTCTTGATACTATCGATAGACAAACGAACATGCTGATCGGTAGTCTTGTGCAAACTGAAAATAAATTAAAATCTCTAGAAGTTTTAAGTCCACAGGGTAAGCAATGTGTTAATAAATATCGTTTTTCACTACCAACTACCAGTGGTATCCAAAAGAATATGACGAACTGTAAAAACTCAAACAGTAACAATGTTTCTTACCTATTGGCCAAACCTCTTAATACCAGAAATTCACTGCAAAACTATTATAAGAATTCTTTCGAAAGAAATGTTGATATTTGCAGATGGAGTTATCCTACACTGCCCTTGAACTACACCATGTGTGTTACAAAAGTGGTTAGTATTATAAGCTAAGTTTTGGAAAGGAACAATTAAAAAAATCTTATAATTTTAGGTATCCGATACAGATAAATATACTATAGAAAATCAAAAGACTTTCTCCAATCAAATGGATGCTGCTCAGTGTTCGGGAAATGTCAATATAAAACAAGCTTTGGATTGCAGTTATACGACAGAAACTCGTACACTCTCTGCCCTCACAGAAACCAATACACTGGTCAACAAGTGCATAGAGGGTCAAGAGGAATGTAAATCATGCAATCAATCGTCTGCATATACATGTTCAGATGTCGGCTATATGTATCGTTCGGAGATAAGTTACACGAGTCATGTTATGAATAATCCATTTTACAGACGTTATGATGTTACAAATTGTTTAATGTTGAAAATTATAAATAATTAGAAAAATTAAAATATTTTGTAAATTATAAAATTATTAAATATAATATATATATATATATATATATATATATATATATATATATGTTCCTTTCACTCCTCGGGGGAGCATAGGGCCAAATATGCATTTAGAAAATTTTACTTTGCATCATCTTTTTAAAAGTATATTCTGGGTTCCATCGAAAACAGAAAAGCTAAACAGAGCTTTTTCACAAATACTTTTGTCGAGATACGATTATATTAAACATAATTCTAAGCTTAAAAGTCCTATTGGGGGGGTTCCGTTGTACGGGAGCTAGGTGGAATAATGGACCGATCTTTATAATTTTCAATAGGCTCTGCGATAATAGAAGGTCATGTACCATATTTCATTGAATTATCATCAAAATTGCGACCAGTAGTTTGATTACAAGGTCAGACAAGGACAGTCAGAACGACAGACGGAAGAACATAGCTAAATCAACTCAGAAAATTATTAAGGTGGATATAGGAACAATATTATTGTGCGTTATCATCACAAATCCAATATACCCTCCCCACTAAATAATGAAGAAAGTATAGCCGGATATGATCTACCCTAAACCAGACGAATCCGTATAGGGGTTTAATATGGATGATAGTTCCCATTATGGAACGATTATATGTAAACTTATTTACTTCGAATTTTATAACAATGTTTGAGCGTAACAATAATTTTCGGTAATACCAGTTGAAAAACGAAAAAGGAACAAAAAGTCCCCTTTTTTAGATTTCCATTTCAATCAGGGTATTTAATTCTATGTTTCTAGGTTTAGTATTTCAAAAGATACAAAAAGTAACAATTGAAGAAAGAAAAAGAACCAAAAAGTTTACTAAGTATTATAAATTTTCATTCCATTTATAATACTATACTTCAGAAAATCAAAAAAGTACCATTTCAATATTATAGAAAATTCAAAAAGTACCTCTTGGTCAACGAAAAGGTACCATTTTATAGGGTCTCATTTACTCTACATGCTTAACTAACGTTAATGTATATGTTTCTATATTATAGAAAATATTAAAAAAAGCTCAAAAAGTACCAGTTAGAGAAAAAGTACCAAAAAATGGTCCTTCGTAATAGATTATTTGTATTTTTAATTGTACTCTACTCTACTACTTATGTATCTTAATACGTAGTTGGAATTAATATGGGCGGAGTTAGAAAGTGATCGTCAAACTTTCCATTATCACATATACTGATTATTATTAAAGTAGGAGTATCAAAAGATTAGAATTATCACTTAATTTTCTTGAAATAATTGTGAACGGGATTTAAATAGTAGGCGTCCCACCTACCATTCAAAAATTAAAATTTTTTAACGAATCGTATCGAAAATAAATAATAAAATTATGTTTACCAATTGTGGGCGTGACAATTCCTATAAAAATGAATATAATATATCAAATAGTAAAAATGGTGAGCAGTGTTTTGTCCAATCATATTCATCAAAAACTGGGTGTTTCTTCTTAACTTTAAAAGTAACTTTTTATCTAATATGTATACTTAAATATGCGAGAAAGGTTTTTTTTAAATTTTCCATACATTGCTATTTTTACTCTGTTGTTATTGCAAAACTTAGCGAAATAGAGGGCGTGGAAAATGTCAATTAAAAAATATTACTAATTTGGTTCAGACTCAAAATCATTCATCAAATGCATTGACTACATTTTCACCAAATTCTTTAAATATACTACCTCCAATAAATAATATTTTTGACAAATCATAGCTTTGGGAATATGAAGGATTAAACAAAATAATTTGCTCAGTATAAGGCAGGTAATCTAGAATATGCAAAACACATTGTTTTAAATTGATCATTATTTCGAGAATTTTGACCAAAGGAACGAGTATTTCGAAAATCATTTATTAGTTGATTGTGGTCCATGATTTAACCTAGTCCTCATGTAAAATAACCAACCAACGAACTAACTAACTAACTAACTAACTAACTAACTACTAACTAACTAACTAACTAACTAACTAACTAACTAACTAACTAACTAACTAACTAACTAACTAACTAACGAACTAACTAACTAACTACTAACTAACTAACTACTAACTAACTAACTACTAACTAACTAACTAACTAACTACTAACTAACTAACTAACTAACTAACTAACTAACTAACTAACTAACTAACTAACTAACTAACTAACTACTAACTAACTAACTAACTAACTAACTAACTAACTAACTAACTAACTAACTAACTAACTACAACTACTAACTAACTAACTAACTAACTAACTAACTAACTAACTAACTAACTAACTAACTAACTAACTAACTAACTACTAACTAACTAACTAACTAACTAACTAACTAACTAACTAACTAACTAACTAACTAACTACTAACTAACTAACTAACTAACTAACTAACTAACTACTAACTAACTAACTAACTAACTAACTAACTAACTAACTAACTAACTAACTAACTACTAACTAACTAACTAACTAACTAACTAACTAACTACTAACTAACTACTAACTAACTAACTAACTAACTAACTAACTAACTAACTAACTAACTAACTAACTAACTAACTAACTAACTAACTAACTAACTAACTAACTAACTAACTAACTAACTAACTAACTAACTAACTAACTAACTAACTAACTAACTAACTAACTAACTAACTAACTAACTAACTAACTAACTACTAACTAACTAACTAACTAACTAACTACTAACTAACTAACTAACTAACTAACTAACTAACTAACTAACTAACTAACTAACTACTAACTAACTAACTAACTAACTAACTAACTAACTAACTAACTAACTAACTAACTAACTAACTAACTAACTAACTAACTAACTAACTAACTACTACTAACTAACTAACTAACTAACTAACTAACTAACTAACTAACTAACTAACTAACTAACTAACTAACTAACTAACTAACTAACTAACTAACTAACTAACTAACTAACTAACTAACTACTAACTACTAACTAACTAACTAACTAACTAACTAACTAACTAACTAACTACTAACTAACTACTAACTAACTAACTAACTAACTAACTAACTAACTACTAACTAACTAACTACTAACTAACTAACTAACTAACTACCTACTAACTAACTAACTAACTAACTACTAACTAACTAACTAACTAACTACTAACTAACTAACTAACTAACTAACTAACTACTAACTACTAACTAACTAACTAACTAACTAACTAACTAACTACTACTACTAACTAACTAACTAACTAACTAACTAACTAACTAACTAACTAACTAACTAACTAACTAACTAACTAACTAACTAACTAACTAACTAACTAACTAACTAACTAACTAACTAACTAACTAACTAACTAACTAACTAACTAACTAACTAACTAACTAACTAACTAACTAACTAACTAACTACTAACTAACTAACTAACTAACTAACTAACTACTAACTAACTAACTAACTACTAACTAACTAACTAACTAACTAACTAACTAACTAACTACTAACTAACTAACTAACTAACTAACTAACTAACTAACTAACTAACTAACTAACTAACTAACTAACTAACTAACTAACTAACTAACTAACTAACTAACTAACTAACTACTAACTAACTAACTAACTAACTACTAACTAACTAACTAACTAACTAACTACTAACTAACTAACTAACTAACTAACTAACTAACTAACTAACTAACTACTAACTAACTAACTAACTAACTAACTAACTAACTAACTAACTAACTAACTAACTAACTAACTAACTAACTAACTAACTAACTAACTACTAACTAACTAACTAACTAACTAACTAACTAACTAACTAACTAACTAACTAACTAACTAACTAACTAACTAACTAACTAACTAACTAACTAACTAACTAACTAACTAACTAACTAACAACTAACTAACTAACTAACTAACTAACTAACTAACTAACTAACTAACTAACTAACTAACTAACTAACTAACTAACTAACTAACTAACTAACTAACAACTAACTACTAACTAACTACTAACTAACTAACTAACTAACTAACTAACTAACTAACTAACTAACTAACTAACTAACTAACTAACTAACTACTAACTAACTAACTAACTAACTAACTAACTAACTAACTAACTAACTAACTAACTAACTAACTAACTAACTACTAACTAACTAACTAACTAACTACTAACTAACTAACTAACTAACTAACTAACTAACTACTAACTAACTAACTAACTAACTAACTAACTAACTAACTAACTTAACTACTAACTAACTAACTAACTAACTAACTAACTAACTAACTAACTAACTAACTAACTAACTAACTAACTAACTAACTAACTAACTAACTAACTAACTAACTAACTAACTAACTAACTAACTAACTAACTAACTAACTAACTAACTAACTAACTAACTACTAACTAACTACTAACTAACTACTACTAACTAACTAACTACTAACTAACTAACGAACTACTACTAACTAACTAACTAACTAACTAACTAACTAACTAACTAACTAACTAACTACACTCTAACTAACTAACTAACTACTAACTAACTAACTACTAACTACTACTAACTAACTAACTAACTAACTACTACTAACTAACTAACTAACTAACTAACTAACTAACTACTAACACTAACTAACTAACTAACTAACAACTAACTAACTAACTAACTAACTACTAACTACTAACTAACTAACTAACTAACTAACTAACTACTAACTAACTAACTAACTAACTAACTAACTAACTAACTAACTAACTAACTAACTAACTAACTACTAACTAACTAACTAACTAACGAACTAACTAACTAACTAACTAACTAACTAACTACTAACTACTACTAACTAACTAACTACTAACTACTAACTAACTAACTAACTAACTACTAACTTAACTACCTAACTAACTAACTAACTAACTACCTAACTAACTAACTAACTAACTAACTAACTAACTAACTAACTAACTAACTAACTAACTAACTACTAACTAACTAACTACTAACTAACTAACTAACTACTAACTAACTAACTAACTAACTAACTAACTAACTAACTAACTAACTAACTAACTAACTAACTAACTAACTAACTAACTAACTAACTAACTAACTAACTAACTAACTAATCAACTAACTAACTTTTCTCTCTAATCAAATTATAATAATACCCACAACTAAAGTAGGGTAATATATAGGCGGGCTAGTCCGCTAATGTTTCCTTTTACTTTTTAATCTTAATTTATCAATAAATTTTAATTAGCAAAAGTCGTACAACATGTGTTACTAATATGTATAAAAATAATTTTTAGTTAAGATTAACTGATATGATACAAGTGAAAAATCACCAATAGCTAATAAATAAATAATTTTCACTTGAAAACGTCACTATAAAGATAAAGAAATCAACAAAGTATTACTGATAAAAACTAAGTTTGTTTCTTATTTTTTCGACTATAAAGTAAACAAACTACTTTCTTAATAATTCAGTAATTAAAAAGCCATTGGGAAGAACAAACATTATAAGGTATTAAAATATGTTTAAGTTCGTGGTTATAGTATTGCTCGTTGGAGCTGTGGCACGTGTACAAGCGCAACAAGTAAACAACAACATTAACAATATCGATGAATATATAAATCAAAACAAGCAGCAATATGCTCAAAATATACGAGATTATGATCAACGTTTGGAGACATTTAAACAAACATATACCGCTGGTCTGCAGGTGATTCCCAAACGTCTGGACATGCTAGTCGATAGTATTGGTCAGACAGAGAAACGTTTAAATAGTCTCGAAATCTTAAGTCAACAATGTGTCCAAAAATATCGTTCAAAGTTGCCCAATGTGATTATCACCAAACAACAAATCAATTTGTGTTATACTACCGCTAATAGCCAAACTGAATATTTGGTAGTACAAGCTTTTGGTACTAGAACATCCTTAGATAACTATTACAAATATCAATTTGAAGGTAGCTTACAAAGTTGTAAGGTACAAATTGGCGATTACAATACATGTGTCATGAATGCTGTAAGTTGAAAATCGCATTATATAGTATTTTAGTTTAATATGTTGCAATTCTCTTAAAGGTATCCAACGCCAATGCTTATACAGCCAGCAATCGTAAGACATTTGATTCACAAATGCAAACCGCTCAAATTAAAGCTAATGCCAATACTGATACAGCTTTCCAGTGCAGTTATTCTACACAAAATCAAGCCACCTCCGCCATAGCTGAGATCAATATCTTAACTGATAGATGCTTAAAGGGCCTTGATGATTGCAAACCCTGTTCAAATCAAGGTTTTTCATGTTCTGCTGTTTCACGTTCTGAAATCGATTATAACAATCCATTAATGACTAATGTTTTCTATGGACGTTATGAACTAACTGATTGTTTATTGTTGAAGATATTCAGTTAGATAATTACATTAATTTGTTGTTGTAATACTTAAAAAAATAAATTATAAAAAACCAGTAAGAGTACTAGATTCGGCTGTGCCGAATCTTATATACCCTTCACCATGATGTGTAAAAAAACAGTCAGTACGAATTTTATTACAAAAAAATCAAAAAATACCAATTGTATCAGATTTTATACGTTCTAACTTAATCCGTGCTCTTCATGCTTAATTTCATATTTCTAGGTTCAATATTATAGAAATTTCAAAATGTACTTTTTGTAAAACGAAAAAGTACCAAAAAGTCCCCTTTTATAGGTTCTTACCTAGTCAAGGCCCTACATGCTAAATTTCATGTTTCTAGGTTCAATATTATAGAAAATTCAAAAAGTACCTTTTGTAGAACGAAAAAGTACCAAAAAGTCCCCTTTTATAGGTTCTTACCTAGTCAAGGCCCTACATGCTAAATTTCATGTTTCTAGGTTCAATATTATAGAAAATTCAAAAAGTACCTTTTGTAGAACGAAAAAGTACCAAAAAGGCCCCTTTTATGTGTTCTGGCCTAATCCGGGTTCTACATTCAAAATTCAAAAAGTACCTTTTGTTCAACGAAAAAGTACCAAAAAGTCCCCTTTAATAGGTTCTTACCTAGTCAAGGCCCTACATGCTAAATTTCATGTTTCTAGGTACAATATTATAGAAAATTCAAAAAGTACCCTTTGGAGAACGAAAAAGTACCAAAAAGTCCACTTTTATGTTAAATGATCAACTACAAAAATTGGCAAAACTTAGTTTTATATAAGTCTTAATAATACTAGCGATTTTTGTAAAGATCGGGCATTATTTGACCATAGCTCCCATACAAAGCCCGCTTCAGAAAATGACTTAAATGTCCACAATTCACTTATTAACACTAGTATCACGATGAAATTTGGCACAAATAAATTTTATATAAACATAAATCCCGACAATAAATTTTGCCCTAGCTCCCATATAACCGGACCTTCCGATTTAAGCGTTTTAGCTCATAACTACGTCAAATATACTACTATCTTCCCAAAAATTGGCACAACTAAGTTTGATATAATGCTTAATAACACCATCTATTTTAGTAATTATCGGGCCTCATTTGATCCTAGCCCCCATACAATGTCCCCTTCAGAAAGTGATTTTAACGTCCACAATTCACTTATATACACTAGTACCACGATGAAATTTGGCACAAATAACTTTTATATAAACATAAATCCCGACAATAAATTTTGTAAGGATCGGACCAATTTATACCATAGCCCCCATACAACCGGATATTCTGGTTTGGGGCTTTTAGCTCATAACTACGTCAAATAAACTACTATCTTCCCAAAAGTCCGCATAATTAAGTTTGATAAATAACACTGTCGACTTTCGTAATAATCGGGCCTCATTTAATCCTAGCCCCTATACAAAATCACCTTCAGAAAATGACTTAAATGTCGACATGTCCATAATATCACGATGAAATTTGGCACAAATAAGTTTTATATAAACATAAATCCCTAGAATAAATTATATAACGATCGGCCTAAGTTTTGTCCTAGCCCCCATAAAACCAGACTTTCCTTTTTGGGCCTTTTATCTATATGCGACAATCTATCCAATCTAATATATATACTACTATCTATCTAAAAATCGGCACAATGTGCTGATGTTTTTAATACTCAAAAGTTTCCTTAAGTATGTCAGTCAACTATCTTGGAATTGATGTTATTCCGGAAATAACATTCCTGACTAACACTGATTGGAAGATTCTTAGGAATTACGTTCAGGAAACTGAGTTTATGAACACTGAAAAATAATTTATCCAGTTCCCTTTTTTTTCATGATAAGTAGCGCACAACAAGCCCGATAGTGGCCTAGGTGTATTTCTTCGGATTTGATGTAATATACATGTCAGTCAGTTCAGAATCACTTTCTGATTCGATTAAGCTATGTACTCATCGTAATATCACATATAGATGGCGTTTAAAAATTAAATATTATATTCATTGTACCTATTAGGTTGTTGAATTTACTAAATAAATTTGTATAACTATAAATATAGATCATTTACTTTAAGAATGCCATAGCTTAAAAATAGCATACTACAAATTCCTCAAGAACTTACTTTTCAAAGACTACTACATATCGTCTGTATTGAATAGAAGGAGCCTAGTAATGACTTACGAATAACTGTATACGTTATTACCAATCGTAGTAAGTACTAACCTAACTCCCTACTTGGCAAGATATTTGTAATATTTCGAATTATTTATGGTGTGAAGTTTTTTGTTTAAGAAAAATTTTAATAACTTAACTTACGAATCAACCCACGTACTATATATAGCAATTGTAATAAAATTCCAAATTCTAAATAAATTGAAAGATTTCGCTTTCATTAAGAAACTGATAAGACCATATTTTGGGGAGAATTAAGCTTTCTCAAGATTACTCTCGTTGGCTCATGAAACAGATAACACAAGACATTAAGGGGATTTTTTATGTTTTTTTTTTATAATTCATAATATTTACAGTATTTAATGAATTAATTTTGAAAAAAACATTCAGTTTTAATTAAATATTTCAAGACATAAAGTCAGAGTTAAAAGCAAAATGCTGCATTATAAAATAATTTTAGTGTGTTGTGGACTGTTTGCAATTTTAAAGGTGAAATAAAAAATAATATTATAAGAAAAATTTAAATTCTTAACAGATTTATATAATATATATTTTTAGCTTAATAATGGTGAAGTTTTCAGCAGTAGTAACACTTATAACTCCTCATTTCGCAGTGATGATTATATAAGCATTAATAAAAGACAATATGAGAGAACCATTAAGCAATTTGATCATCAAATGGAAATATTCAAACAACTGTTTAATGGACGCCTCAATACACTCGACACTCAATTGGAAATGTTAATAGATAGTTTGAAAATCAATGATGAACTCCTTAATCCCATGGAAATTTTAAGTGATTTTAGTAAACATTGTGTAACCAAATATCGTCCTAGAATACCCACAATTGAAGCCACCAAAACATCAATGCAAGCTTGCGTTACAACGGCCAAAAATCAATTAACCAATTTGTTGAATCCACCACTAACAACTAGAAATAATTTACAAAATTATTATAGAAATAATTTTGAGAAGGAAATTAAAAATTGTGCCACAAAACATGCCAATATGTTGACCTTTAATTATACCAATTGTTTAACGGGTTTGGTAAGTTGAATAGATTTATCAATTACTTTAATTAGATCTATTAAATTATATTAATTTGTACTCTAGATTTCATCGGTCAATGTTGTTACTCTCAGTAATCAGAAAACCTTTAATACACAAATCGAGTCCGCTCAATGTAGCGCTAACACTTACATAAAAAAGGCCATAGATTGTAGTTTTTTGGCTCAAAATCGTACTTTATCTTTGGTAGCCGAGGCCAATACTTTGATCAATAAATGTTTGGAGAATTTAAATAATAGTGAAGATTTTTGTTCAGATGTTTTCTATATGCGTCAAGCTCATGTTGATCACAAGAATTTCTCGATGACAAATCCATTTTATGGCCGCAATGAGACGATTAATTGCTTATTAATAAAATTATATTAGATTAGCGTTAAGTCAGATAAGTAAGTCTGTTTGTATTAAGATTAAATAATAATAGATTATGTGTATACTAAGTATATTGTAATTTATTTATTACTAGTCATTGCAGTGTTCTTTTTTGTTTGTTTTTGGACTTGCGGTTTTAAATAAAATTTACATTATAAATTTTTATCCTAAGTGTTTTAAGTGAACACAATTAAACTTCAATTAATTATGCAGTAGTAGTCCCGATTTTGAATCTATTTTCATAAAACTTATTTTATACGTCACTTTTAATCCAAAGATGAACCCTTTTGAAACCCTTTTGAAAGGGCTTTCTTTAAAATATTGTGATAATGATATTGTAATACAATTAACTAAAAAATACTTAAGTCTCACATATGTAAATCGAATATTTCATTCATAAATGGAATAACGAAAAAGTTTATGGACCAAATATCGCATCGCCAAAGTTGTTCATGTAAATTGGAAAATACTGAACAGCTTTCTCTTTTTCGACGTGTCAGCTCCATCCATATGCAATGATTATAAAATAAGCGGTTTTTATGGATACTATAGCATGGAGTTGTATATATTCTCAAGAGATATAATTAATGTTTGATTATAGTCAAATCTATGCCTTAAGGCTTTTGCCATCTTGACTTGTTTGATCAGTTGTACCGATTCCAAAATGAAGTATACATTACATATCAGGGAGGACAGGAGCCGAGGAACGAAAGAACGAACGAACTAACGAACGGAATCGACGAACGAACGAACGAACGAACGAACGAACGAACGAACGAACGAACGAACGAACGAACGAACGAAACGAACGAACGAACGAACGAACGAACAAGACGAACGAACGAACGAACGAACGAACGAACGAACGAACGAACGAACGAACGAACGAACGAAACGAACGAACGAACGTAACGAACGAACGAACCGAACGAACGAACGTAACGACACGAACGAACGAACTAACGAACGAACGAACGACGAACGAAACGAACGAACGAACGAACGAACGAACGAACGAAAACGAACGACCGAACGAACGAACGAACGAACGAACGAACGAACGAACGAACGAACGAACGAACGAACGAACGAACGAACGAACGAACAACGAACGAACGAACGAACGAACGAACGAACGAACGAACGAACGAACGAACGAACGAACGAACGAACGGAACGAACGAACGAACGAACGAAACGACAACGAACGAACGAACGAACGAAACGAACGAACGAACGAAACGAACGAAACGAACGAACGACGAAACGAACGAACGAACGAACGAACGAACGAACGAACGAACGAACGAAACGAACGAACGAACGAACTGACACGAAAACGAAGAACGAACGAACGAGAACGAAACGACGATACGAACGAACGAACGAACGAACGAAACGAACGAACGAACGAACGAAAACGAACGAACGAACGAACGAACGAACGAAAACGAACGAACGAACGAAACGAACGAACGAACGAACGAACGAACGAACGAACGCAACGAACGACTAACGAACGAAACGAACGAACGAAACGAAGAACGAAACGAACGAACGAACGAACGAACGAACGAACGAACGAACGAACGAACGAACGAACGAACGAACGAACGAACAACGAACGAACGAACGAACGAACGAACGAACCGAACGAACGAACGAAACGAACGAACGAACGAACGAACGAACGATACGAAGAACGAACGAACGAACGAACGAACGAACGAACGAACGAACGAACGAACTAACGAACGAACGAACGAACGAACGAACGAACGAACGAACGAACTGAACGAACGAACGAACGAACGAACGAACGAACGAACGAACGAACGACGAACGAACGAACGAACGAACGAACTAACGAACGAACGAACGAACGAACGAACGAACGAACGAACGAACGAACGAACGAACGACCGAACGAACTAACGAACGAAGAACGAACGAACCTAACGAACGAACGAACGAACGAACGAACGAACGAACGAACGAACGAACGAACACGAACGAACGAACGAACTAGAACGAACGAACGAACGAACGAACTAACGAACGAACGAACGAACGAAACGAACTAAATAACTAACTACTAACTAACAACGAACGAACGAACACTACAACTACCGAACTAACTAACTTAACGAACTAAACTGAACTAACTAACTAACTACCGAACTAAACTAAAACTAACGAACTAACTAACTAACTAACTAACTAATAACTAACTAACGAACTAACTAACTAAACTAACATAACTAACTAACTAACTAACTAACTAACTAACTAACTAACTACCTAACTAACTAACTAACTAACTAACTAACTACTACTAACTAACTAACTAACTAACTAACTAACTAACTAACTAACTAACTAACTACCTAACTAACTAACTAACTAACTTCTCACAGCATCTCTCTCTCTGGTCGATTGGGCAATGTCCGTTAATGCGAAATGTCTGACGCGTCAGACGGGGTCACAGATCACAATTATGAATATAATTTCAAAAAAATTTGTCGGCATATTCTACAAAGTCAGGAAAATATTTCCACTAAATTTCATTGAAATCAGATCAAACACTTTTAAAAAAATTTTTAAAGATATAGTCTGATTTTAATAAAATAAAATAACGTGACCAGACATCCGGCCAAAAGCGGGATTAGCCCGATTTTTAAAGGTTTTTTTTTTTAAATTCCGTTATACAAAATAGCTTCTAATAAGTACCTAGAAATTCGAAAAAAAACTTGCTGGGTTTATAAATATTTATGCTGACCAGCTAATCAAGTGATTCCCTTTCGTGATTTTTTTTTTAAATAAATGTTTTTTACAAAACCCCAAACAGAGATAAGAATTTGAAAACAAACTCGGAAATAATTGTAACAATAATTTTTCAAATGTAAATAAATAAATACATAGTTTGAGTATTTTATTATAAACAAATTGCATTCGGTGGAAGAAAATTTAGAAGAAAAGCTTATCACTTTAGAAATAATGCGTAAAACATGAACAAAAACATTATCAGTAAATATTTAATTATGAGTAGAAATATGCACATGAAATTGAACTTGAAAAATTTTGCATATAAAAAGAGTTGAACACGAATTGAAAACAAATATTTCAATAAGTTTTTGCCAGCAAAATAGTATTGGAAAAGCGGAACATAAAAAAAAACAAAAATGAAATTTTCATTATTAACTGTGGTAGTAATGGCATGGAGCACAGGAGTGCAGGTGGGTGGAATAGTTTATTAAATTTTTAATAAATTATAAAGGAATTTCTTACATATGTAGAGCAAAATAGAGTTTATGCCTGAGGCCATGTATACCACCACAAGTCCTACTGCCAAGGTGGATAATTACATTTTACAACATCAACGACAATTCGAGGAACAAATGCGCACCTTGGATAAATATCTAGAGGATTTTCGCAAGAAATTTGAATTACGTTTAGAAGTAATTGAATATTATGATGCTGTTATGGATGTTAAATTGCGCGATATGAAAGATAAATTGGATCCCATGGAAATGTTGGGTGATGTTAATGATGTGTGTGTGGAAAAGTATCGTGGCAAAATACCAGCTGATAATGTTTTAAAAGTAAATCTAAAAACCTGCATCAATAAAGCGAATACAGCATTTTCGTCGTTGCTTAATAACCCGGAAAATACCTTGAAAAATTTACGCAATCATTATAATAATCCATTTAATAATTCTCTCAAGGATTGTAAACGGAAATTTGAGAAAGATGAAACTAAATATAAAAATTGTGCCTCAACGGCGGTAAGTGCAACTTAAACATAGAAAAATATATAATTTTTTTAACTATATCCTTTACGCATACAGATTAAAACCGCTACCACCTATTTTAATACCAACACCAATACATTTTATTCACAAATGACTACGGCCGAGTGCAGTTCGAATACCAAAATCGATGAGGCCTTCGATTGTTATTCAGCTCATGTTTATCAAACATTCTCCTCTATGGGCGAGGTGAATGGTTTGATTGAGAATTGTTTGGCTGGTCATGATTTTTGCGTGCCCTGTGACAATGAAGATGCGGCCATTATTAAGGGTCGTTGTCCTTATCAAATGGCCTGGCATTTGGCCGATGACGATTTGACGGGTGATAAAATTGTTAATCCATTTAAGGGTATTAATAGCACCACACCTTGCCTACAGGTTAATTTTATAACGAAAAGTTTTTCTGACGGTGTAAATAAGGCGTAATTAATTATATAATTATTTATAAAATAATAAAATGTCATTAAAATTTTGAATATATAAAATGTTTCGTTTAACTATATATTTGTTTGCGTTTCGCCCATTCGTTTTAGCTTGACCCTTAGTCCGAAGAGCGAAAGCTGAATATTTGTGATTTTTTATACACAAAACTGCCATTACCATTCCATCTGTCTGTTTATGGAAGGTACAGTTTTAAACTAAAAATTTTCCCGATTTTGAAATCTTTTCAAACATTTGGGTAATTAATTGGGGGCTAAGAAATAGGGGGCGTGGCATCGAAGACGCCTTTAATAACATGCATAATGATACTCTTATTCAATCCTTAGTCCAGTTTTATGTTGACAGGGTGCTCCATAGCAGGATTAACCACATGCTAAGGAACAGATGGATAAGATGTGATACGATATATCAACCAGGATAGGGGTATTTCGCGGTACCCCACAGGGTGGCATTTTGTCCCCTTTACTCTGGGTTATCACGATGAATAGCCTCCTAAGGACTTTAACCGATAAAGGACTTGGATCTGTCTGCTGTGTAGACGATTTCGTAATACTTCTAAGGGGAAAGGATCTAAATTATTTGTGTAGATGAGCTCAAGAAGCTCTGAATACGACCTTGAGCTGGGCTTAACCGAGAGGCCTCAATGTTAACTCGGCGAAGAGGAAATCTGTCTTTTCACAAGAAGGACAAACATTTCTAAATGTACTGAACCCTGTTTCCTGTGCAAGAAAATATCGGTGATAGACAGAGTTAAGTACTTGGGTGTAATCATTGATCAAAATTAAAATGGAGACACCACATAGAGGATAGGATTATCAATGCACATCGGCGCTGGGCGCTATGTAGGAGACCCATAGGCATGAAATTAGGTCTTAGTTCTACTATGACATATTGGCTTTATAAAAGTGTAATTAGACCAAATGTAATATCAAACTACTACAGTTCAGGGTACATACTGATTGGGTATAAGTGGTGCCATGAGTACTACGTCAACCAAGGCTCTGTGGTGAAACTTACAGCCGAACGGCTCATAACTTTAAGCGAACTGGCCAAAAACGGTTATAGGACACATCATCAATGTATATTGGACACTTTGTAGGGCTATATACATGCATCGGACGTGTCTGATCGCATAACAGAAACAGAATATGTCGGAAAATTTGAAACACTGAACAAAGATAGATTTGGTCAAGCGGAACATTGGAGCAAAGACCGGTAGAAAACCATTGCTACAAGGAATGTCTCTTAACTCAGGGACATAATGGCCTGGGGTTCCATATTGCAGACCCAGAAACAGAAATATACTACCGTTTACCTAATCACAGCTTCCAGGCAGAAGTATAAGTAATAACAGGATACGTAAATAGGATTACAATAATATATTTACCGACACCCAGAAAGCAATTACGGCCATATCAGATGATAGAGTTCCTACATCGTATGGGTACCAGGCCATTAGTACCCCCGTCGGCAACGAGAGAGCGAATGTAACAGCTTTAAACGGAATTGAACTCGATGTGGTTAACTTCACCCACGCAAAACAATTTGACACAACGAGGTCAGAATTGAAAACTATGGTTGAGAGAAACCCATAAGGATATTTGGAATAAAAAACCGGTGGGTAGAACAACAAAGTACCTATGGCGTGACCGTAACGAGATCAGGACAAGAAGCCTACACAAAATGAGCAAGTTTGAGATTAGTATAATGTTACGTATTCTGAGTGGAGACACAGGATACAGCTACACAAAATTGGACGTGCGTATTCAGACAAATGTAGAGCATTTAGGGAGGAAAGTGAAACTCTGTAGCACTTTCTTTGCCATTATTAAGCTTTCGCCTAAATTAGATCCAAATATCTTGGGAGTGATATTATTCCGGATATAACATCCCTCACGAACACTGATTGGAAAATTCTTAGGAATAGCGCCCAGGAAACTGAGGGTCGGTCTGAACATCGGACGATAATACATTTAGTGAATACTATATAAGGATTTTGTTTTTACCAACAAACATTTTCCATTAAAAAGGAGCGCACAAAAGGCCCGATAGTGGCCTAGGTGTATTTCTTCGGATTGGATGTAGCTACATCCTCTTATCAACCTAACCTATTCTCTATTGCCCACTTTGATAATTATCAATATGAGCATGTCAGTTCAAATATGAATTATATACAACAATGCATATATCTGTGAATCCTCAGTTAATATTTTCAAAAAATTACAAAATATTTGAACGATGTGAACTTACCTTAAACACACATGTTATAATCTGAAAAGCAAAACGAAATGGTGTTATTTAATATTATAATAATTATAAAACTTTGTATAACAGTTTTAATCAAATATTTATATAAAGCCTTAACATATGCTAAATGTTTTGTTAATTTGTTTTATCAATAAAACCTGTAATAAAATTATAAATAAAATTTTTCTTTGATTTACAAATTAATCATTTTAAACACTTTTTAATAGATTTTAGGTTTGTTTTTTTTTGTGCCTTCTAATAGTTTCTGTAGTTTGGGAGTGTCTTTTGTTCGTTGCTGATTTCTATTACTTATTCTTTTCTTATCTTAACAATATCACTATAATTTCTATTGATTTAAGTTTTTTTCTTTTAATAACAATTTAAAAATTTTCATCATTTAGCTTCTGGCTGTTATTGTTTGTTAAAAGAAAACAATAAAATAGCTATGGTTTATAGTTAAAGGAAATGTTTAACATAGAAATAAAAGTAAAAAAAAAACTATTTTGAATTTTTGGATATCATGTCATTATGGGTTTTTAATTCAAATACATTGTTAGCAATTGTGTGGTCTACTCAAATCAAACGTCTGTCAGACTATCTTCCTTTTAAACTGTAAACGATCGATTTTTTGCATATGCTTGCTTATTCAAATGAAAAAGATGGGTTAGGTTTTAATAACATATTTGGAATATTTGGTGAAAACCTTTGAACTTCTTAATTTCTTTAAAAGAAATTATGTAATGAAACGTTAATGCAATCATGCAATCAAATATTAGTAGGACATAATCATGTGATATTGATCGTTCTTCCAGGGAGCTACGATTTGTTGCATTATGCATTGTCAGCATTAGTTGTTGATACACAAGCTGTTGTATCGCTGGCATTTACAAATGTGAAAGCTATTTAACCGAGCCATTTGTAAACATCTTGTCACACTAGACAATTCAATTAATAAAAATATTTATTATGAGAATCCATTGTCTTTAAGACTTGTTATTTAGTATGTTTGTAAATATGTTTCAAGATAAAATCTCCTCTCCAGTTTCTGTTCATATAAAACACCTTTTTTCGGCCACCAGTTGTTATAAAACCAACAAAAAAGAGATCAAATACTTATAAACATGCAAACATTTTCGATATTTGTTGTTATTACTATTGACCACAGGAAACTAAATGTGAAAATTTTGAAAGAAAAACAAAAAAAAAAAAGCAAAAACTGACACATTTCGTACGAAATCGATATAAACCATTTATGTTTTTCCACCGCTTAAGTGGTAACGTGTGTCTTTACAAATTTCGCATAAATCATGGCAATTTATGACATTTTGTTGGAAGACAGCAGCGCTAAATATTTAACTTTGCAAAACGTTTTAATATTTTATATATTTTTTATTTCTTATTTTCGAAATATTTTATTTATTTACACTCTTATTTGCTAAAAGCTTTGTGAACAAAATGTTGGCAGAAAAAAAAAACCCAACCAAATGTTGCACTTGTTTCAAACTAATGAACACATTTGTCGCAAACACAGTGGGGTTGGTATTATTTTCTATAATGTCGTTTGGTGTTGCATACACCAAGAGAAATTATTGGCGTACATCGTTAAAATGCTATTAGAAGCAGTTACAATTTTATTATAAGATTTTTACAAACACATAACCAGACTGAAAATAAATCATGCTTAACATTACGAAAGAAAAAATCGTAACTTTTTTTAGTAATATTTACAAAAATTTCGTGTATAATACGAAATAATGTTTAATCGAATCCTATAGTCTAGACTATAGTCTAGTCCATAGTCTAGTCTATAGTCTAGTCTATATTCTAGTCTATAGTCTATAGTCTAGTCTATAGTCTAGTCTATAGTCTAGTCTATAGTCTAGTCTATAGTCTAGTCTATAGTCTAGTCTATAGTCTAGTCTATAGTCTAGTCTATAGTCTAGTCTATAGTCTAGTCTATAGTCTAGTCTATAGTCTAGTCTATAGTCTAGTCTATAGTCTAGTCTATAGTCTAGTCTATAGTCTAGTCTAAGTAGTCTATAGTCTAGTCTTAGTCTAGTCTATAGTCTAGTCTATAGTCTAGTCTATAGTCTAGTCTATAGTCTAGTCTATAGTCTAGTCTATAGTCTAGTCTAGTAGTATAGTCTAGTCTATAGTCTAGTCTATAGTCTAGTCTATAGTCTAGTCTATAGTCTAGTCTATAGTCTAGTCTATAGTCTAGTCTATAGTCTAGTCTATATAGTCTAGTCTATAGTCTAGTCTATAGTCTAGTCTATAGTCTAGTCTATAGTCTAGTCTATAGTCTAGCCTATAGTCTAGTCTATAGTCTAGTCTATAGTCTAGTCTAGTCTATAGTCTAGTCTATAGTCTAGTCTATAGTCTAGTCTAGTCTATAGTCTAGTCTATAGTCTAGTCTATAGTCTAGTCTAGTCTATAGTCTAGTCTATAGTCTAGTCTATAGTCTAGTCTATAGTCTAGTCTAGTCTATAGTCTAGTCTATAGTCTAGTCTATAGTCTAGTCTATAGTCTAGTCTATAGTCTAGTCTATAGTCTAGTCTATAGTCTAGTCTATAGTCTAGTCTATAGTCTAGTCTATAGTCTAGTCTATAGTCTAGTCTATAGTCTAGTCTATAGTCTAGTCTATAGTCTAGTCTATAGTCTAGTATATAGTCTAGTCTATAGTCTAGTCTATAGTCTAGTCTATAGTCTAGTCTATAGTCTAGTCTATAGTCTAGTCTATAGTCTAGTCTATAGTCTAGTCTATA